TTAACTATATGTGTAAAGAAAAAAAACTTGAAAAAATCTTCTTTTAAAAAACCCAACAAGCTAGACCTTAGATGTTTAGCATGAAACATCTTCTAATGGGTGTCTACCAAGTTTGTTCAAATAAAAGCCCTGGGGTTTAAACAGGCCCGCTCCGGGGGCCTACATACAGGTGAGCATACTTTAGGGCCATCATGGCCCTCTTGTTATTATGTTAATTGTAATCTACGTATGGAAATATAATTTCTGATCAAATGCAAATCATTTTTCCATACATGTCACCTAAAGAAACACTTAAGGTATATATTTATAATTATAAAAGTCACCTAAAACTACAATGAAGGTTATATCAAATGTATAAGTGTCACCTTAAAATTCCCCGGTGACATAACAATATTTATAAATTTCACCTAAAGTTCTATGAAGGTATTTAAAACATTTAATAATATCACCTTTAACTTCTCTTAAAGTAGCATGCCTCCAGATAAATGAAAATATTTCAATAAATCAAACTGAAAAATGTACGAAGATTTTAGGATTCAAGAGTCAAGTAATAATTAACATGTAATGAACAGTCAATGGTGAATTTCTACTGCGTTACGCAGTAAGGGCATTTTTGCATATTTTGACCTCTTTTTGTAATTATTGCAGGTTATTATTGCTACTGATAATGTGTAAACTGCTTCCTTTTGGTTTTTATACAATATTATACGTTTAATTTCAATTTCAAATTTTTTTTCATGAAAATAAGCAATAATCTATAGGCATGCTGCTTGAATGTAAATATAACATTTAAAGATATCGCTGAAGGTATGTAAAACATGTATTAATGTCACCTTAAACTACACTGAAGGTTTAAATCTGTTTGCTAAATGATGGTGTTTAATTTCTTTTCATGATTACTTTATCATAAACTGCTTTAGGGCATGAACAAAATCTACATCTTATAGCATATTTACATGCAAATGCATCTTAAATACAGACATAAAAAGCATAAAAAATTTATCATTTATTATCTTAATGTTGTTTCCGTTTGTAGAAGTTTTATACATGCTTAATTAACTTGTAAGAAATCATCATACGACAGCTTGATTGTTTCATGTATAAAACTATATCTTAGAGAGAAAATGTTGATAGTTTAACAATAATGTACATGTATAAAACTATATCTGAGAGAGGAAATGCTGATAGTTTAACAATTATGTACATGTATAAAACTATATCTGAGAGAGAAAATGTTGATAGTTTAACAATAATGTACATGTATAAAACTATATCTGAGAGAGGAAATGCTGATTGTTTAACAATAATGTACATGTATAAAACTATATCTGAGAGAGGAAATGCTGATTGTTTAACAATAATGTACATGTATAAAACTATATCTTAGAGAGGAAATGCTGATTGTTTAACAATAATGTACATGTATAAAACTATATCTGAGAGAGGAAATGCTGATTGTTTAACAATGATGTACATGTATTAAACTATATCTGAGAGAGGAAATGTTGATAGTTTAACAATAATGTACATGTATAAAACTATATCTTAGAGAGGAAAGGCTGATTGTTTAACAATAATGTACATGTATAAAACTATATCTTAGAGAGGAAATGCTGATTGTTTAACAATACTGTACATGTATTAAACTATATCTGAGAGAGGAAATGCTGATAGTTTAACAATAATGTACATGTATAAAACTATATCTGAGAGAGGAAATGTTGATAGTTTAACAATAATGTACATGTATAAAACTATATCTGAGAGAGGAAATGCTGATTGTTTAACAATAATGTACATGTATAAAACTATATCTGAGAGAGGAAATGCTGATTGTTTAACAATAATGTACATGTATAAAACTATATCTGAGAGAGGAAATGCTGATTGTTTAACAATAATGTACATGCATAATACTTTATCTGAGAGAGAAAATGTTGATAGTTTAACAATAATGAACATGTATAAAACTATATCTGAGAGAGGAAATGATGATTGTTTCACAATACTGTACATGCATAATACTTTATCTGAGAGAAGAAATGGTGATTGTTTCAAATACTGTTACAGTGCATGAATAATACTATATCTGAGAGAGGAATTTTTTTACAAGATTTATAACAGAACTAGATATTGAATTGCCAACAAAAACATATGAACAACTGTAGCTTGATTAGGCTATTTATTTAGTCAGAGATCATCTTGATTTTTATAATTATACAAGTTTAATCTATTTACAGATATAAATGAATGTCTAAAGAATCCATGTTTAAATGGTGGAACCTGTACTAATACATTAGGTTCTTATAAATGTCAATGTTCACAACAATGGACGGGTCTTCGTTGTGAAAAAGGTATACTTCCTTCTTACTGTTTTTAACTGTGAGCTCAATGAATTCAACCCTTTGCTAACACAACAACTATATGAGAATGATGGTGAATAAATCATAATGAGTGATGCAGAAATTTATGTAGTGTACACAAATAAAGAATAATTATGAAATATGTGAGGGAATAAGCGAGTCTATAAATTAAGTTTGCATTAAAAATCTGACAATAAAATAAGCAGTTGGCAAACATAAAGCAGCAAAAATAGATCATTTGACATTGAGCTATTAGGAAATTTTGATTAGCAACTACAAAGTCGTTCCAGGTACTCCATTGTAAGTTTTAGAGACTATGTATTATAGTTTTGATGAACTGCCTGCCGGTTATAATAATAAATACAGTCAATTTTGTTTATTTCTAAAACTTCGGATTGTTTTGAATTAATTAAATGACAGACAAAGAAAACGTATATAGATATAAAAATTTGAACCAGAAAAATAAAAGGTACTGTTTACTATTGATCTAAACAAATATAGTCCCTTTTTTATTCTGAGTGACAAAGTAACGATACTTTTTGTGAATGTAACATTTTGTTTTGAAGACAACAATGAATGTCAGGACGTTTCTATATGTGCCAATGGTGGTCAGTGTATCAATACAGAAGGAGGTTATACATGTCGATGTCCCGCAGGATGGACAGGGCCAATTTGTTTAATAGGTAATCATGACTTGTAACAAATTTCACTTTAACCAAACTCTTTCATTATTTAGAAAGAATGTAGAAATATATACATAAAGAGGACATAAAAAGCATAAAAAAATTATCATTTATCATCTTTATGTTGTTTCCGTATGTAGAAGTTTTATACATGCTTAATAAACTTGTTAGAAATCATCATACGACAGCTTGATTGTTTCATGTATAAGACTGTATCTAAGAGTGAGAAAATGTTGATAGTTTAACAATAATGTACATGTATAAAACTATATCTGAGAGAGGAAATGCTGATTGTTTAACAATAATGTACATGACTGTATAAAACTATATCTTAGAGATGAAATGTTGATAGTTTAACAATAATGAACATGTATAAAACTATATCTGAGAGAGGAAATGATGATTGTTTCACAATACTGTACATGCATAATACTTTATCTGAGAGAGAAAATGGTGATTGTTTCAAATACTGTTACAGTACATGAATAATACTATATCTGAGAGAGGAAATGTTGATTTTTTACAAGATTTATAACAGAACTAGATATTGAATTGCCAACAAAAACATTTGAACAACTGTAGCTTGATTAGGCTATTTATTTAGTCAGAGATCATCTTGATTTTTATAATTATACAAGTTTAATCTATTTACAGATATAAATGAATGTCTAAAGAATCCATGTTTAAATGGTGGAACCTGTACTAATACATTAGGTTCTTATAAATGTCAATGTTCACAACAATGGACGGGTCTTCGTTGTGAAAAAGGTATACTTCCTTCTTACTGTTTTTAACTGTGAGCTCAATGAATTCAACCCTTTGCTAACACAACAACTATACATGCTATATGAGAATGATGGTGAATAAATCATAATGAGTGATGCAGAAATTTATGTTGTGGTCACAAATAAAGATTAATTATGAAATATGTGAGGGAATAAGCGAGTCTTTAAATTAAGTTTGCATTAAAAATCTGACATTAAAATAAGCAGTTGGCAAACATAAAGCAGCAAAAATAGATCATTTGACATTGAGCTATTAGGAAATTATGATTAGCAACTACAAAGTCGTTTCAGGTACTCCATTGTAAGTTTAAGAAACTATGTATTATAGTTTTGATGAACTGCCTGCCGGTTATAATAATAAATACAGTCAATTTTTGTTTATTTCTAAAACTTCGGACTGTTTTGAATTAATTAAATGACAGACAAAGAAAACGTATATAGATATAACAATTTGAACCAGAAAAATAAAAGGTACTGTTTATTATAGTCCCTTTTTTATTCTGAGTGACAAAGTAACGATACTTTTGTGAATGTAACATTTTGTTTTGAAGACAACAATGAATGTCAGGACGTTTCTATATGTGCCAATGGTGGTCAGTGTATTAATACAGAAGGAGGTTATACATGTAGATGTCCCGCAGGATGGACAGGGCCAATTTGTTTAATAGGTAATCATGACTTGTAACAAATTTCACTTTAACCAAACTCTTTCATTATTTAGAAAGAATGTAGAAATATATACATTATGTATATTATATTTTTTGAAGACAGTTAAATAATTATATTTGTCCTTCAAAGAAATTATAAACCTTGTAAGTTTGATTTAGAAACATGTTAAATATTGTCAGCAAATGTTTTATTTCGCAAGATAATTTCAATTCTGTATATATCCTGCAGTGAATACTAGCATAAATTAAGAGATTTAATCCATTTATCATTGTGTATACAGATATCTATGAATGTATACCAGACAAATTGGACAATCCATGTCTAAATAGTGAAATTTGTAAAAATCTTCAAGGCTCGTATGAATGTGTTTGTCCACCAGGCTTTACTGAGATAAATTGTAAATCTGGTAAGAAACAAAAATGTTTGATTTGGCTTGTGACTTTCTGTATTTCAGATAATGTTTGATTCAGGTATGTTCCTTGTACCGGTAGGTTTACCAGATGGCGTTTATTTCAAATATGCTCATTGTACCAGTAAGGTCTTCAGATGGTGTATGTTGTAGATATGTACATCGTACCAGTAGGTATTTCAGATAGTGTTTGTTTCAAAAATGTATCTCATACCAGTAGATAATTCAGATAACATATGTTTCAAATATGTACCTCATACCAGTAGGTATGTTGTATTTCAGATAGCCATTGTTTTAGATATGTACCTCGTATAAGTAGGTATTTCAGATAGCATTTGTTTCAGATATGTACCTCGTATCAGTAAGCACTTCAGATAGAGTTTGTTTCAGATATGCAACGGTATTTCAGATATTAAGATAACGATTGTTTCAAATATGTTCGTCATACCAGAAGGGATTTCAGATAGCGTTCGTTTTAAACATGTACCTCGTACCAGACGGTATTTCATATATTAAGATAACATTTGTTTCAAATATGTTCCGTATACCTGTAGGTATTTCAGATAGCGTTTGTTTCAAATCAGAAGGTACTTCAGATAACGTTTGTTTCAGATATTTACCTCGTACCAGTAGGTACTTCAGATAGGACAGCGTTTGTTTCAGATATATGTTACCTTGAATAAAATTATGCCCTTAAAGATGTAAAGGTATAAATTATAAACGAGCCTGAGTTCGTTCAGTAACATTTAATTGAAATGTCCATAACTTTAAGATCTCAGTATATTATAAGTTACAAGTAGATTTAACCCATGAGGTGAATGTCACATCTCCAGCAATTGTTTAAGCACCAATCAATTATGAATACTCCAATTGCAATATGTATATATGTATCCGCACATCAATTACTATATCAGTCACTATCATGATCCAGCCCTGAAACAAACAAACATAACGATATTAAATACATGTAAGATATGTAAATACTTAGATCATAAACATATCACAATATATACAATTTAAGTCATAGCATGAATATAATAAACGTCTCACATCAAATAGCCAATATACAAAATGTCAAAAGTCATTTAACCATAACATCAATAATTACTTCTAAATTAATAAATGAACATTCCAAGTGCAGTTTCTGCATTTTTTTTAATATTTAACAATTCAATTTAGTGGCCTATTAAATAAATAGAGTAAACTTATAAAATAATAAAAACAATAATTATAATATGACATGTACAATTATACATTCCAATTGTGGATTGGACTCAAATGACACTCATTTATAAACACTCTCAATCTTGTGGTGTTACTGCAACATACAACAATTAAACATTTGCTCAATAAAGAATGACAGTTATTTATTTTAATTACTGCAAATACATTTAATTTAATTTTTAATAAACTTCAGACACACGGCTAATTTTTAACTCAGTAATCAAAAAATAAAAAATGCCACAAAACAACAATATTTAAAAAAAAATAATTGTAATTCCACGTGTTAACATGGAAAAACTATTCTTTGGGTAGATCCAAGGTTTTTCGTCATTTTTGTTAAACTTTTACCTCATATATAAGATATTAAATAAGTATCGAAAATTTATTAGAAAACAGTAGTAAGCATTGTCATTTGTGATAGTAGAATAAAAAATTTAATGTTGTAAAACATATATTATAAATATCTATTTTATTTTTACCTTCACACTTTCATGAAAGCATTCTATATTTGTGGTTATACTTTTTATATTTTTACTGTTTTAGATGTAACAATATATTATAATATTCACAATATAATATTCATTAATAATATTATAAATATTATTAATAATATTATATATAATGTTTTATATATTTTGTGGTTATACTTGTTACATTTATCTACATGTAGATTTACATTTTTAGATGTGAATGAATGTTTGACAAACCCATGCCTCAATGGTGCCTCATGTTTTAATAAACATGGATCATATGAATGTCAGTGTATTGCTGGTCGTACTGGTGTAAACTGTGCAGAAGGTTAGTATTTACGTAAAAAAACAATAAATGAAAATATAAGTGAACAAAAGCCATATGTATACCATATAATGGTTTATAGATCTGACTCTTTGGGAATAAATTATAAACAGCTACTGGGAGTTTCAAATATTGTGTGTTGTCTGTTTACAAGCTTAAGATTGATGTCGCATAATTGTTTAGCAATTAAACAAGTTTTATATACAACATTTATTTATAGAAAAGTGTTAATGTGTTTATGAATGTCATCTAAAACTATACTAAAGGTTATATCACATGTATTTATGTCACCTAAAATACAATGAAGGTATTTATATCTCATGCATAAATATCACCTAAAGAAACACTTAAGGTATATATACCATTCATAAATGTCACTTAAAACTGCACTGAAGGTTATATCACGTGTATTAATGTCACCTTAAATACAATGAAGGTATGTATATCCCATGCATGAATGTCACCTAAAGAAACACTAAAGGTACATATACCATTTATAAATGTCACCTAAATAACTGAAGGTTATATCCCCTGTATTAGTGTCACCTTAAAATTCCCTGATGACATTAAATATTTATAAATATCACCTGAAATTCTCTGAATGTATTTAAGATATCTGTAAATATCACGTTCAACTACTCTTAATTTCTTTAAACATTTATAGGTCTCACTTACAACTACTCTGAAATTATATTAAACACTTATTAAGGTCACTTTAAACTATACTGAAGGTTTTATCACATTAATATATGTCACTGGTTGTAGATAAATCTGATTGTTGAATGATGTTGTTTATTTCTTTCCATGATAACTTCTTCATGATTTGATATAGGCATGTAAAAGGCTTATTCTTATAGCAAATTTGCATGTCAATGCATCTTAAATACAGACATAAAAAGCATTAAAATTTCGTCTTTTATTATCTTAAATGTTGTTTCCGTTTGTATACATGCTTAACTTGTTAACAATCATCATAAGACAGCTTGATTGTTTCACAATACTGTACGTGTATAATAATATTATTGAGAGAGGAAATGTTGATTGTTTCACAATACTGTACATGTATAATACTATATCTGAGAGAGGAAATTTGATTTTACATGATTTATAACAGAACTATTTATTGAATTGCCAACAAAACATATGGATAACTGTAGCTTGAGTAGGTTATTTATTTATTGATTTTTATAATTACACAAGTATATCTATTTACAGATATAAATGAATGTCTAAACAATCCATGTTTAAATGGCGGAACCTGTACTAATACAATAGGTTCTTATATATGTCAATGTTTACCACAATGGACTGGTCTACGTTGTGAAAAAGGTATACTTCCTTGTAACTGTTTTTAACTGTGAGCTCAATGAATTCAACCTTTTGCTAAGACAAAACCTATATGAGAATGATGTTGAATAAATTATTATGAGTAATGCAGACATTTGTGTAGTGTACACAATGAAATCTGTGAAGTAATATGCAAGTTTATAGATTAAGTTGGTATTACAAATCTGACATAATAAGCAATTGGCAAACATAAAGCAGCAAAAAACATTTGGCATTGAGCTAAGGAAATCATTATTAGCAACTAGAAAGTCGCTTTAGGTTCTCTTTTTTGTAAGTGTAAAAAACTATGTATTATAGTTTTGATGAACTGTTCTGACTTGTTTTAATGACAGCCACATTAAAAGTATGAGGATATAAGAATTTGAAGCGGAAAAATGAAAGGTACTGTTTATAATTGATCTTAAATCATGTAGTCCTTATTTGATTCTGAGTGACATAGGACGTTTCTTAATGTGCCAATGGTGGTCAGTGTATTAATACAAAGAGGGTTGAATGTCCCGCAGGATGTCCCGTAGGATGGACAAGCCCAAATTATTTAACTTGTTGATCATGAATTGTACAAATTTATAGATGTCCCGCAGGATGGACAAGCCCAAATTATTTAACTTGTTGATCATGAATTGTACAAATTTTACATTGACCCAATCCTTTCATTATTTAGGATGAATGTAGAAATATATACATTATGAATATTTTCTAATTGTTTACTATAGCTAATTAGTTTATTGATATTTTATGGTGACAGTAAAATAAAACATGTATTATATTTTGGCTTCCAAAGAATTATAATCTTTGTAACATTAACTATATTGTCAGCAAATGTTTTTTGTCACAAGATTATTTCAAAACTAAATATGTTACAGTGAATGCTAGCATAAATTAAGATATTTTACCCATTAATCATTGTGTATACATATATCTATGAATGTATAACAGACAAATTGGACAATCCATGTGTAAATAGGGAATTTTGATGTGTAAATAGGGAATTTTGTAAAAACCTGCAAGGCTCGCACGTATAAATGTGTTTGTCCATCAGGTTTTACTGGCATAAATTGTAAATCTGGTAAGAAAACGAAAATGGTTGATTTTGGCTTGTGACTTTCGGTATTTCAGATAGTTTTTGATTCAGATATGTTCCTTGTACCGGTAGGTTTGCCAGAGAGCGTTTGTTTCAAATATGCTCATTGAACCAGTAAGGTTTTCAGATGGCATTTGTTTTATATATGTTCATCGTACCAGTAGGTATTCAGATAGTGTTTGTTTCAAATATGTATCTCATACCAGTAGATAATGCAGATAACATATGTTTCTAATATGTACCTCATACCAGTAGGTATGTTGTATTTCAGATACCACTGTTTTAGATATGTACCTCGTATCAGTAAGCACTTCAAATAGAGTTTGTTTCAGATATGCAACGGTATTTCAGATATTAAGATAACGATTGTTTCAAATATGTTCGTCATACCAGAAGGGATTTCAGATAGCGTTCGATTTAAATATGTACCTCGTACCAGACGGTATTTAATATATTAAGATAACTTTTGTTTCAAATATGTTCCGTATACCAGTAGGTATTTCAGATAGCGTTTGTTTCAAATCAGAAGGTACTTCAGATAACGTTTGTTTAAGATATGTACCTTGTACCAGTAGGTATTTCAGATAGGATAGCGATTGTTTCAGATATATGTTACCTTGATTAAAATTATGCCCTTTAAGATGTTATGGTATAAATTATAAAAGAGCCTGAGTTCGTTCCATAACTTTAAATTGAAATGTCTATCAGTTTATGATATCAGCATATTATTTGTTACAAGTATTTAAACAAAGAGATGAATGTCACATCACAAGCGCTTGTTTAAGCACCAATCAATTATGAATACTCCAATTGCAATAATAATATGTATATATGTATCCGCACATTTATTACTCTATCATTCACTATCAAGATACAGGCCTGAAACAAACACACACAACGATACTAAATACGTGTAAGATATGTAAATATTAACTTAAAAATCATAAACATATCACAATATATACACATTAAGGCATAGCATGAATATAATATACGTCTCACATCAAATAGCCAATATATAAGTCATTTAACCATAACATCAATACATTACTTCTAAATTAATGAATGAACATTCCAAGTTCAATTCATTTTATTCAATATTTAATAATTCTATCTAGTGGCCTGTAAAATAAATAGAGTTCACTTTTGAAATAATAAAAACAATAAATATGATATTACATTTATAATTATACATACCAATTGTGGATTGGACCCAAATGACACACATTCATTAACACTATTTCAATCTTGTGGTGTTATTGCAACATACAACAATTAAACATGAGCACAAAAAAGAATGACAGTGATTTATTTTAATTACTGCAAACACTTTTTAACGTTTATTTTTTTTCGCCATTAGCATATACACTGCAAACAAACCATGTTCAATATACATGAATTTCTTCTTTTAATAAGCTTTAGACACACAGCTCTTTTTTTAACTCACTCAATCAAAAAATAAAAAATGCCACAAAACAACAATATTTCAAACAAATTAGATGTAAGACCACCTGTTAACATGGGAAAAACTAGCTTTTTTGGTAGATCCAAGGTTTTTATCATTTTTGTTAACCCTTTTACGTCATATATATGTGTTTTGACGGCTTTTTGTCCTCCCTCTTTTGAGATAGGTTATACATTAAATCATTTTTGTTAATAATACATGATGACCGGCAATTAAAATTACTATGAAACGTGTGAATCACTTCAACTAATTGAGATGAAAATATGTTGGACTTTAATTGACGGGACACAATTTTCTTTTCGACTAAACATGAGTCTCGGTAAGTCAAAATTTGACCTAAGCGGAGTTAAAATACAAAGATAAAGAAGGAAATTTGACGGGACTTTAGAAATTCTTCGACTAACGCGGAATTTTGAGTAAAGCGATTTTGACTTATTGAGAGTCAACTGTATTCTTTCTTTACCTTCACAGTTTCATGAAAGCATACTACGAGTATATTTGTGGTTATACTTGTTACATGTATCTACATGTATATTTACATTTTTACTGTTTTAGATGTGAATGAATGTTTGACAAACCCATGCCTTAATGGTGCCTCATGTTTTAATAAACATGGATCATATGAATGTCAGTGTATTGCTGGTCGTACTGGTGTTAACTGTGCAGAAGGTTAGTATTTACGTAAAAAAATAATAAATGAAAATATGGTAAGCAAAGGCCACGTGTATACCATATAAAGGTTTATAGATCTGCCTGTATCTGTCTAGGGAATAAATTATAACCAGCTACTAGGAGATTCAAATATTGAGTTGTTTGTTTACAAGCTTTGTATTGATGCTCTATAATGTTTAAACAGTTCAACAAGTTTTATATACAACATTTATTTATAGAAAAGTGGTGATGTGTCTATAAATGTCATCTAAAACTATACTAAAGGTTATATAAGGTATTAATGTCACCTAAACAAAATGAAAGTATTTATATTCCATGCATGAATAAAGAAAAAATGGCGGTATAATACCATTTATAAATGTCACTTAAAACTGCACTGAAGGTCAAATCTTATGTATTAGTGTCACCTTAAAATTCCCTGATGACATAAACATTTTTATAAATGTCACCTTATATTCTCTGAATGTATTTAAGACATTTATAAATATCACCTTCAACTACTCTTCATTTTTATTAAACATTTATAGATCTCAGTTAAAACTACTCTGAAGGTATATAAAACATTTATTAATGTCACTTTGAACTACACTGAAGGTTTATATCACATTTATATAATTATGATAAATCTGATTGTTGAATGATGTTGTTTATTTCTTTCCATGATAACTTCTTCATGATTTGATATAGGCATGTAAAAGGCTTATTCTTATAGCAAATTTGCATGTCAATGCATCTTAAATTAAGACATAAAAAGCATGACAATTTCATCATTTATTATCTTAATGTTGTTTCCGTTTTTTATACAGTACATGCTTGATTAATTTGTTAACAATCATCATAAGACGGCTTGATTGTTTCACAATACTGTACGTGTATAATACTATGTCTGAGAATTTCACATGATTTATAACAGAAGTAGATATTGAATTGCCAACAAAACATATGAACAACTGTAGCTTGAGTTAGTTATTTATTTTTTGATTTTATAATAACACAAGTATAATCTATTTACAGATATAAATGCATGTCTAAACAATCCATGTTTAAATGGCGGAACCTGTGCTAATACATTAGGTTCTTATATATGTCAATGTTTACCACAATGGACTGGTCTACGTTGTGAAAAAGGTATACTTTTTCTGTTTTTAACTGTGAGCTCAATGAATTCAACCTTTTGCTTAGACAAAAACTATATGAGAATGATGGTGAATAAATTATAATGAGTTATGCAGAAATTTTTGTAGTGTACACTATGAAATCTGTGAAGGAATATGCAAGTTAATAGATCAAGTTTGCATTAAAAATCTGACATAATTAGCAATTGGCAAACATAAACAAGCAAATAGCAAAACAGAACATTTGGAATTGAGCTATAAGGGAATTATGATTAGCAACTAGAAAGTCGCTTCAGGTAGGTACTCCATTGTAAGTGTAAGAAACTATGTATTATAGTGTTGATGAACTGTTCTGTCTTGTTAAATGACAGCCAAATTACAAGTATGAGGATATAAAAATTTGAAGCGGAAAAATTAAAAGGTACTGTTTTTTAATTAGTCTAAAATTATGTAGTAGTGACATAGTAACGATACTTTTTGTGAACGTACCTCGTAGTAGTAGGTATTTCAGATAGCGTTTGTTTCAGATATTTACCTCATACCAGAAGGTATTTCAGATAGGATAGCGTTTGTTACCTTGGTAAAAAATTATGCCTTATAAGATGTAAAATCATAAACTATAAACGAAGCTGAGTTCGTTCAATAATTTTAAATGAAATGTCCATCAGTTTATGATCTTAGTATATTATTAGTTACAAGTATTTTAACATGAGATGAATGTCACATCACAAGCACTTGTTTAATCACCAATCAAATATGAATACTCCAATCGCAATATGTATATATGTATTCGCACATATATAACTATATCAGTCAGTATCAATATTAAGCCCTGTAGCAAACAAACATAACGAAACTAAATACATGTTTTTACTAAGATCATAAACATATCACAATATATAAAAATTTATGTCATAGCATGTTTACACGTCTCACATCAAATAGCCAATATAAAAGTCATTTAACCATTACATCAATTTTTCTAAATTAATGAATGAACAGTCCAAGTACAGTTTTCAGCATGTTATTCAATATTTAATAATTAAATCCAGCGGCCTATTTAATATATAGAGTAAACCTATAAAATAATAAAAAATATAATTATAATATGTCATTTACAATTATACATAGAATTGTGGCTTGAACTCAAATGACACTCATTCAAAAACACTATTTCAATCTTGTGGTGTTACTGCAACATACTGCCTGCAATTAGACTTGTGCACAATAAAGAAAGACATTAATTTATATTAATTACTACAAAAACATTTTAACATTAGATATGTTGCCATTATCAGATATACAATGTACTGTAAACAAATCATGTACAATAAACATGAATATCTTCTTTTGATAAACTTCAGACACACATCTCATTTTTAACTCACTTAAACAAAGATTTTCCTTTTGATTGAACAAAGCTTAGATAAGGAGGTACAAAGAGTTGTAAAATTTTGATCTAGACTTTTACATCAAAGGCCAATTTTTATCAGATCTTCATTGTTCATATATGTGTTTTCAGACTTCTGATTACTGTCTATTTCATTAGAGTTTGCACATACCACTTCTTCTTTGATAAAGCATAAAGTATCAAAGTTCTATATGTTTTTGCTTTTTTTATGATCCTATTTTTGCCTAATAACATAGTTTTATATTTTAGTGTCAGTGACTTACTATATCCTTATACATGTATTATCATTTTGTGTCATTATCTTTCGATACGTCATAATAACTTGTTTTTATGAATAGATTATTTGTTTTTAAGATTTTGATGAATGTGTGCAAAATCCTTGCATCAATGGTGGAACATGTTATAACAATGAAGGTTCATATACATGCTACTGTTCACCAGGCTTTACCGGACGTAACTGTAAGATATGTAATACATTATATCATTCTATGACATGCATTGTTAGAATATGGTATTGCAAAGACACATGGTTTATTGTTCATAGAAAATTAACAGAACAATTCTGTTAGTCTTATTAACTCCATTTTTCTAGAAAATTAAAGTGGAGCTATCGTCATGACCCTATAATATGGCGTCAGCTGTGGCGTTGGTTAACCTTTTCATAAAGGTTCATAAAAACTATATGTTCTCAGAATTTATAAAAGCTATTTAATTCAACTTGGTGTACATGTTATTGCTATCAGTTGTGACGGAATTTCACGTGTTCCCTCTGTTGGTCATCTGTGAAAGTGGGGTATCTCCAAGGCACTTCGTTACATAACTCTAACACATCTGTTTGTAGATTAATAACTGATGATGAATTGATACTACATAAATAAATTATCTCCTTAATATAATCCTAAAGTTGGTATCTTTTAGAATGATTTATACTGAACAAATGTCCCTCATAAAATATATGTACATACATTTATAATAGGTGAAGCTTGCTGGAAGTCTTTTAAAGTCATGTGATGTTCAACAATTATATGTTTTTGTAAACATGTAAATAGCTATGACTTTTAATGTTACAGAAATAGATGAGTGTTTAACCAATCCTTGTTTAAATGGTGCTACATGTATTAACAATGTTGGTTCATACATATGTCACTGTCCTGAGGGATATACAGGGAAAAACTGTGAGACAGGTCAATAAAGTACCTCTTTTCTTATTCGTTCAACAACCACAATTACAAATTGTAAAAACAAAACTCCATGCTTCAAACTGTTTTTATGTTAATAATGAATTCTAACTAGAATTACTTTCATTTTGAACGATTGTTTAACATTTGATGAATCTTGACCACGGACTGTTATTTGAAGATAATCGAAAATTTATAATAAAACAGTTGTAAGCGTTGTCTATTTTGATAGTAACACACACAAGAAAAATATTGTAAAACAAATATTATAAACATATTTTATTTTATATCTAAACTTTCATGAAAGCAATTTATATGACTGTGTGGTTACATTTATGTTCATTTATATTTACTAAGAAGGTGTTTTTGTTTCAGATGTGAATGAATGTTTGACAAACCCATGCCTCAATGGTGCCTCGTGTTTTAATAAACATGGATCATATGAATGTCAGTGTATTGCTGGTCGTAGTGGTGTAAACTGTGCAGAAGGTTAGTATTTACGTAAAATGATCAATAATAAAAATATAAGTGAACGAAAACCACATGTATACTATTTAATGGTTTTAAGATCTGATAAGACGGTTACATAGATATCACAAGGTTGTTACATAATGGTAGTTGTTACAGCATTTTACAAATGTTACGAGACTTGAGACTGAAATGATAATTTCAAACATAATTGTTACAGATGTTTTCAAAACATATTTAAGTATGGGACGTAAGGGTTACAGCCGTCATATGTGTTACATTGATGTTACGTACATTTTACTTAGAACCAGGAATTCTGGTTATGAATATATCAAATGAAACAAAACAAATGTATTGTTATTGTATACGATTTACTCAAAAATATCTTGACATGTACCCTAGTAAAGTGAATTGGTGTTCATTTTTTTAAGATTTAATATGTTGACTTGCATTTGTTGATGTTTGTATTCACCAAGGCAAAGGAAATATTGATAATGGTATATCTTATTTTAACAAAGCAATGGTTAAAAAATAATTTTATTCAAAACTGGAACACACGATTTAATCAATCCAGCATGGCTTTATTTTATGATGCATTATCATCTTTTAGAAGCCATACTTAGAATGTTTACATGTTCAAAAATTTTGTCAAGCCTTTGATTGTTTACGTGTTTCTTCTTATAGATATAAACTGGCAGTTGGTCTAGGCCACAGATGACCCCTTTAATGTAAGATGTGGAAACATCGAAGACGAGTATCATTTTATATTGGAATGTCTGTTATTTACTGGTATAAGGAAAAACTATATTGGTAGACGCTACTGGATAATACTCAGAATGTTCAAAATGGATGACTTTGCAAATCTAGAAAAAGAATATTGATTCATTAGAAACATTGGGATATATATCTGCATTGCTTTCTTTTCGAGATTCGGTCCTATATGCCAATTAAAAGCATTCAAACGAATCATTAGATAGATATTGTTATTCTAAGTATATATTTATAAGAAACATAGAAATTTGATATATATCATATTGTAATAATCATCTTAATTAGAAATGTATAGATATCGTTTGCATCTTTTTTCTTTTTTGTTACATGTATTTTATAAGAAATGTGTTTGTATATGTATCATACACATGTCTTACTCGTAAATAATTAATAAGTTATAAAATCATGTCTATTCGAATGCAATACTATTTGTCTTATTTTTTCGTTCCGGTAAAATTGGTTGAATATAGTATTATCACTGTAATAGAAATATAAAAAAATAGAAAATTAATGTATTTGATAATATTATCTATGTCTCTTGCCTCAACAGTGAGGTAAGATATGTAGATAAACTGATTTTGTGTAAGGATGTAATGAACGTTATTTAGGTTTGTTGTAACACTATTTAACGCATCACGCTTAGGCCATCTCCTGTTTTATATGTTATTCACAGCAATTTCGACCTATTTTAAATTATCTTTCTTTCCTAGGACGGTATACCACTTGAACCACCTACCCACTGCAGTTGCCTATTCCCTACCAAGAGCAGTTCAGTTTAGCAATATCTTGCATTGAACATGTCTCATCCTAGTTTTCCAGCCCCTGTTTTTAACATTTTTGATATTCTTTTATCCTTTTTTTAAAGATTTTGACGCACAGACATGTCTACGTCCATGCGAGGCGGTTGACATTATTTGAAGATAGAAAGATAGATATAACTTTTTCTGTTGTTCATGATGTCATTAAATTTAAATTTGATAGTTATAAATACCGGTAATATAGGTTGTATGCAACTTTGTAAATAATTTTAGAAACAATATGCGGTTGCTTATAAGTATACTCCCATCCCTTCATGAAAATTGTTCCGGAAATTAGACTTAATATTATGGCATCTACGAATTATTGGTTTACTACATTATTTCCATCTGGGTAGCTTAGCATCACCAGAACAGAGCATGTAAATCATTTCAACAGGTATGAAGTGCATGAGTGCAAGACAAACATAAATAAATATTTTCATCATTCTCGGTTGAAACGAATAAGTTGTTATTAGGACCCTCTCCTGTTAAGTCATAATTATATGGTGATAATGTTTTGTAAATAATCATATTCACTGTGAGTTATCTTGTAAATATGCTGTTATCATGTCATCATGTGCTAATAAGCCTTTTTTTATTGAAATAAATTGCCTGCCTGTGGAAATGGTGCTACATGTATCAACTCTATAGGAGGATATGAATGTATATGTCCACCAGGTTATACTAAACCAATTTGTACAGCAGATATCTTATAACACTGTTACAATTATAATTGGACCATTGTATAACAGGTAAACACTGGTCTAGCACTATTAAATTTATATACTGAGCCATTATGTACAGCAGATTAACACTGGTGTTATTGCACTGTTACATTAACACGCTTGACCATTATCTTTGACAGGTAGACACTCAGCTTAAAGAACATTTAACACTTACATGTTTATATAAAAGTAACTGCTGTAATTTAATTTTGTCACCTTATTTGTTATTTTGATATAAAGTATATGATCATAATTTTTGTTCAGACATCACATTATTTTAGGTATTACAGTTATCACATTTATTACCACAACAGTTGACCTTGATAAAACACTGTATAAAATGCAAATATTATCACAACAGTTGACCTTGATCTAACACTGTTAAAAACGCAGGAATTATGTATCTTTTTTTCCCTTGTTCCTTAACACGCATTATAATGATTTATATTATATAAACATATACAACTTTTATAAGATAATGTTATATGAAATATGTTTGTCGACATCAACGAGTGTGCCGTGAACCCATATTTGAATGGTGCTAGCTGTATTAATATCTTTGGATCCTATGTCTGTATATGTCTTCCTGACTTTACAGGACCAAATTGTGATAACAATATATTTTTACCGGTAATCATTCAACACTTTATTTGGTTTATCAATGATGAATTTTTTTTATATAATTGCATTATAATAGTCAGTATGTTTTCAATAATCAACTTAAGAATTTTCTGTTTGTGTGATAATTTTATGTAATAATTTTCATGTAATAAAGTTTGTGTACTAATATTAGCTGCATTGTGAAACAAATTAACTGCCAATAAGAATCACTTGTGTTTTCTTATGCCTTCTTTACACAATATGATAACAAAAGCACTAACCCGAGTATTATGTCCGGGAGATTCCTGCGAGGCATTGTTGTCTTTTGGACCGGCAATTTTTTTCCTTTCGTGTATAAAGTGCTTAAATTTTGTACATAACACCATATTCTCGAGCCAATCGTGAAAACCAAGTTGTTTGATTCTGTTCCTAATTCGTTTTTGTACTAATTTCGAGGGTATTCGATGCACAATATAAATACCAAAGCTCTAACTCAAACCGTATGTACGGTAGATTTCCACGTGGCATGATCGTTTTCTTGACCGACAACTTGTTCTCTTTGTTTATAAACTGATAGATACTCGAAAAAAAGAACATATTCTCGAGCAAACTGTTTGATTGATCCCGTTGCAGATTCGTTTTTGTACTAGTTTGGGTTTTTTTATTTCTTTATACAATATGAGGACCAAAGCCCAGCCCAGGAAATATTACTGAAAGACCTTTGCGTGTCATTTGTTCTTTTTTCATATTAAGTGTATAAATGTTCGTAGAAAACACCATATCCGGAGCCAATTGTAAAAAACATCATTCGTCTGATTCACTTGCAGATTCTATTTTGTACAAGACTAGTATTGAGGGTCTTCTTTGCACAGTATAAGGCCTCAAGCTATTATTCAAGCAATATGTCGGGAGATTTCCGCTTGGTTTTGGTCGTTTTTTGGACCAGCGATATTTTCTGTATAATAAAGTGTATAACAGAAACATCTTTTTCTCCTGCCTACCGATAACAATCATTTGTCTGATTGTTTTTGCAGATTCGCTTTTGTATTATGTTTGTGGATCTTCTTTGCGCAATATCAGGGCCAAAGCCTTAACACAAGCAATGTGTCCGGGACATTTTCGCGTGTCTTGGCCTTTTTGGCCCGGCAAATTGCTTTTTTTATCTGTAGATTGACTGAAAATTCCGAACCTAACATCATGTAAACAAACGCTTTTTAACTAAGATTTGCATTATTTTGATCGATCACGATGCAGTTGTCGTAGAACGTCATAAAAAAGTAATTAAGAGACAATTTTGAGAACCCTCTTTTAGGAGAGATATTGTCGTAATATTGAAACGCTGTTATATGTTACAAGAATGACGCCAAGTTACTTGTACGTAACATCAATGTAACACATTTGACATCTCAAACTCTTACGTCTCATACTTATTTATGTTCTGAAACAATTATAACATTTTATTAATTACAAAATATTCATTTCAATACCAATTTGCGTATCCTGTAACAACTCTGCAACAACCTTGAACCTTGCAACGCCATTGTAACGGTACTTATTCCATTTTTTTCACCATTTTTAGGGCTTCTGCCGTAACACTTGTAACAATCTGTAACATTTGTACAATTAAATGTGAAACTTTCCTTTCCCTATCATCTCTCATAACGTTAATAACATTACTGTTACAACTACAATTTTGTAACATCTATGTAACCTTTATTCATTCAATAATGAACATATTCTAAAGTCTATTCAGTATTTCTATTTCTTAAGAATTCAACATGAATAATTAGTTTTACATTAGTTACATTAGTTTTTTTTAGCAACTTTATTAATGATATATTTCAGCTGGTTGTATAGGAATTAATCACGCGTAATTTTTTTTAGCCGATGACCCAAGTCTTCCAGTCTGTATGTATGTGTAAAACAGGTAATCAAGTGTTTTATGGTAAATGCATCAGTTATTTTTTGTGTTATTTTCTCTTTTTGTATGACATACAAAGATAAGTTTATACAATATTTCTACGGAGTCTAGTCCTTCATTACTTCTATTTTTATGTACATGATCATTTTAGTCATTTTGCAAAAAAATATTGAATATGGAAATGTTGTTTTTGTCGATTAGATAGTATGCATAAGAAATGAACGACGCGTTTTCACGTCCTCTAGGATACGATTTAAATGTTTGTTATCGCATTTTGGTAACAGTTATGTTTCCTTTCTTCAATGAAATCAACACTTAAAACTATATGCGTAACAAGCATTTTCCTTGCAGATACAAGAGTTGTAATTTGCATTTTATGGTTTCAATATGTAATTATGTGCAAATGATATTATGTTGCATTTTCGTCACGCATTTACTGGCGTGAGAGAAGCCGATACCTGGTCTACATTTCTTTTCTTTTTACACTCCCTTACAAAAACATGAATATTATGTCTTTGGAAACCATAGTTTTGACGTTCCTTGTTTTGTATTCCCATAACTCCTATATAATCAAAAGCATTCAAACTTAATAAATGTATTCTTTTAAAAGTCGGTGCTGCCTGTTATAAACATAATATGTGAAAGTTTTTGATTGAGCCTTTTTACATTTCATTGCAACGAACGTGATTTTATTCTTGACGAATAGGTCACGTTTGTAAATCATGTATATCGCATGTAAATCGCAATAGTTTTACACGTCCAATGTGTAACACACACACACACAAGCGCGCGAGCGCGCACGCGCGCACACATACACACACACGCACGCTCGCAAGTTCGTTTTGTGTGTGTATGCTTGTGATACAATTATTTTTATTGTACCAATCTCCGGTTCTCTTGGGTTTTTTCAAAATAATAACTGGTTACTTTTTTAGGATACCTTCATCAAATAAAGCAATATTTTGTGTAGACATGACATCCCTTGTCTTCAACATTTCAAGGGAATTTCAGTTTAATTATAAAGTGGGTTATTTATAGCAATGCAATAATGCATTTTTAAGTAAGGAAAGTAAAAGCTATCAAACATTTCAAGTGAAGACAGTATTTAAAATTTTGTATAGATATAACCAATTATAACAATTTACTTGCAGATATCATTAAAATTTTAAGAAGAAGCTGAGTTATCATTTGTTATCTGACCTGTTAAGCTGATGTGGCCATGTTGTTGAAACCCTGTACCAGCTGGCAAATTACAAATCAATTGGATATAAGGTACTTCCAGAAGATGTTGCCTTGACAAGCCAATCACAGACATTCCGTGTGCCAGGAGGACTGCAAATTCAAGGAAAAGCATGCAGGACCTTGAAGTGGGAGGGTATTAGGAGAGACAGCAGCTTCCAACATTGCGAGAAATAGTCAGTCAACATTATGTATCGAATAAGAGGACAAAATTAAATTAACATGTTGACATATTCCCTGCAGCTTTACCAAAAAGCAACAGAGAACTCTATTAAGACAATGTAGATTATTTTTTCTCAACTATTTATTTAAATTTCCTTGAAAACATGTTGAAGACATAAACATTTCATTATTTAATTACATCCCTCTCTTCCTACTAGTGAAGCTGATTGTTTTGCTTGCTTCATAATAAACACTCTTCATGTTGGTAATCCTGTATAAAAGATATACCGCTGTCATCATTTGAAAATCTGTTTGTACCAAATGTTCAATATTACATTGATATTATAACTCTTGTTTTTGTAATTCTTTTATTAAACTGTTTATACAGTTTGTTCATCTGTAATGTCACTGTCATTAAGAAGTATTGCAACCAAAGACGATTCAAATACCAATTGACAGTTTATTGTATGACTG